TCTTGTTTCTTATCTCATGGTCCTTTTAGCCATTCCTGGAGCCGTCAGTCGCCAAGAAGACAACAGCGGATGGGGACCTCCGAGAATTGAGATTACATGCACCGCTTGTGGCGGCCATTTGGGACACGTTTTTCGGGGTGAGGGCTTCCCGACGCCCAGTGAGCACCTCCAACCTTCTTATGGTCCTGATCTGAACAGCTTGGTTTCCAGCGGACGAAAGACATTGTGTGAATTCGATTTCGCTGACGTTCAAAGATGAGGCCAAGTAGAGAGCTGGATGTACCATAAAGGAAACAAGCATTAGATTCGTGGTCGCGTATCTTGTACAATGGATGATAAAAAGGTTGGATGGTATTTCGTCTAGAGACTTTCCATTTGGAGGACCAGCTCGTCGAGCTCCTTCTTCGTGTTCTGGAATTTGATTTGCGAATCCTAAATAATCGAGTAAATCCAGAGCCGATAGGGTAGAGCAAGGGGACGGACCTCGAACTTCTTCTCCCATTGATCACGCTCTTGCTCTGCGCGCTGGACTTGTCTCTCAAAGTGCTCTGCCTTGACATCAACCTGCCGCAGTCTAGTGGATCATCGATGAGCTGCCGGGTTACCAGATATAATGAAAAACATACTTCTCTACAGTCTCCTTCACATTCTTCTCAGCAGCATCCAGTTCCTCTTCTAAAAGCTGTATCTTGCGAATCAAGGTTTCATTTGAAGACTTGGATAGCTCGCCCTCTTCGTGAGCTGATTTGAGCTCGGCCACTTTCGTCTCCGACTTTTCCAACTCTCCGTCGAGGAGCGATATCTGATGCTTGTAAGAAGTAATCTCCTGATCCTTCTGCAGGAGCAACTGTTCGAGAGCCTTGTTCTTGGCCTCGGCTTCCTCAGCGCGAGTGATGGCTGTGTCGGCCTCAGCACGAAGACTGTTCAATTTCTGGAATATCCATAGGTCAGATACTGTAAAAGAGAGCAATGGCGCGACCAACATCTCTGATCTTGTCGGTCATTGTGGTTGTGGGTGAGATGAGGCTACGATTGGCAAGTGTCACAAAGTGTGACTACCCTCCTACTTGTTAACTTCAATAATGACCGGTCCAGTTCCACAAGAAGGTATTCCTCTAGCTCGGCTCTTGGAATAATCAGATAACAAGGATACTAGAACTCCCGATTCTCGAGGCAGTCATCAAGCAGGTCTTTCCACAGAGTTGCAGTGACTATATTAATGGCTCTTGCAGCATCCGAAACAGGCTTACCGCTTTGAAGAAGGATCGCGGTGATTTTATAAAGGCCTCCGACGTGAATTCTCTATATCAAGCGGTCGTCAAACAAGGTCTGTCCTCGTTCTGCTGGTCCTGGTCATGCTTAACATCCAGGACAGTGACCAAACTGAACGATGTCCGAGACGACAATACGACCTACAACAACAGGCGAGTGATTTCCCGTACTTGCTATCCCTTGGTTCTCAATAAATCACAGATTAGACACGACTCTGGTCGATGTCTTTAGTCTGCTATCATTATTCTATCTTACCATAGGAAAAACCAGAGATGCACCCGCGACTTATTGTCAAATAGCCTCGATGAGAGTGAGTCATGTCTTTTCTGTCTGATCACACGCTCAACGGTGCCTGTAGCAAATCTTGAATCATATGAACGAGTCGGCAGTTTATAACGAAGCCGATCTGGCTCCTTTCCATCGGAGGCTTGGAGAGCTTCGTCAGATATTACAACAAGACACAGCAAATGGGCGACATCCTGGGGGTCTTATCAAGCTCCTTGAACGGCAGCTGAACGAATGCGGTTCGTAATCGCAATTTGCTTCAGTCCGTCCAGTCTCACTTTTATATTTAGACTCCCTCGTCAAAACTTTGGAAGATGCTCTCAGTGTTCTATCTGTGGAACTGATACCGATACATGAAAAGCTTGTGACGCTTAGACGACAGCTGGTGGCTCTGGCAGCAAAAGGCGACTCGCAAAAGGCAGCGTTGAAGCCGCTCCAGGAGGAACTTCGCAAGATTGATTCGTTGAGTATCTGTTCCGTCCATCGAGTCCGCATGTTTACCTTGATTTCTTATTCATCTGACTTGATTTCCCTTGTCCATCAGCAAACGTGTGGATGGAAAGTTTTTGGTCGGCGGGATAGTTCCACCGTCACAGACAATCTGCTCTTCTTTGTTAGAAGAATGCTTTGACATCTGCGAAGAGATAAAGGCCAATGAAGATTCGAAACGCGTCGCATCCTCCCTTAAACCGATTCACGATCGACTGAGTGACATTCGCGCTGAACTGGAACATCTGGTTCTCACTCGACGTTGGAGCTTGCGAGAGACAGACCTTTGGAACTATTCCCTTAGTCTACAGGAAATCGACAAGATGCGAATAGATGGCAAATTCCTCGACTCGGAAGGCAACCGACCAGAGGGTCAATATGTAAGTCTGATGATGTGATCGTCAACTCGGCTCTCTGACCATGATTTGCAGGTGCTTCTCTACCTTCTTCGTCGATGCTATGGTCTCATCTATCGATTGCTGTCTTCAAGCGAGCCGGTCTCTGAAGAGCTTATGCCTGTTGTATGTGGTCTCATTTGTTGTTCACAACCAGAGCTCACTGTATAGTAGGCAAACAAGCTATCGACCGTCAAGAAATGTCTGAATGAGGTGTTAAAGTATGGAGGTCCTTTCAGTCCTCGCGAGCTGTACCCGGTATGTCGTTCAATAATAACCATCAGCCAGCGCTGGAAGATTCCCCCAGTACCAATTGGCCCTGCACAAAATCGAGTCTTTGCGCAAGGATGGCAAGTTTGTCGGGGTGGACGGATCGATACCTGAAGGCCAGGGCATCGTCATGGCGCATTTAAATGAATGTCATGAGCTGCTAGAGATGGTATGTTATTGCTACTACTCTTCCGAGCTTTTTGCTGACCCGATGCTAGCTGAAAGAAGCTATGGAAGAACCAGAAGACGATGATGGCGAGGAATACGAGTCTGGATCCGAAGAGGACGAAGGCTAGGATTTTGGTTTTCATATCATGTTGATTGTTCTAGTGCTGAAAATCAAACTGTACATTAGGTGTACCGTCGTCGAGACTTGCGAATCCCTTGCACCCTTTTCGACTCTCTGAAAAGGTGGATCTTTAGTTGAGTGGTACAACCCTGGCCATCAGTATATACTGCATGTCGAAAAGATACATGTTGTCGTCTTGTGCCCGGATTGAACGAAATCTCAAATGTCAATGGACCCTTAATTGAGTGGTACAACAGCGGCCATGATAGAAAAAGAGGACATTTCTGACGATTTCCTTTTATAGAGATCACTTGGAACCCTTAGTTCAGTGGTGCAACAGCGGCGCATGATCTGAGTCTCTGATCCACTGCAATATCCAACTTCAACTTGCTCCAAATGGTCGATTTTCGTCCCGGGATGCTCAAGCGATAATAGGAAAAACAAGCTCATCTCTGATACCACCAAACTAAGGGTCTGAGCTCGGAAAATGTCGAGATCCTTGCTTCCATGGCCTTCCATGGTGCCGCCCGGTCTTGTACCACTGAACTACGGGTCCTGATGTGAATTCGAGGTTTCGTTCAATCCGGACAGACCTTGTCGACAAATCTCACGCTTGTCAAAAGGATGGTTTGTTGGAGGCACTTCCTTGTGACCAGTGGCCCTCGGGTTCTACCACTAAACCAAGGAACCGGTTGACGAAATAAGTCCGCCAAAACTGGCAGACTATGTTTCCTCATCTAACCGGTTGTACCACTGAACCAAGGAGCCATTTTACCCAAAGAAGGGCTGAAGGCCATTCAATCTGCGCAGCGGATCAAACTCAGATCATGCGCCACCATGCTATCATTGAAATAAGGGTCCGGGTTCAGGAAGGATGCTTGTCAAGTTATAACAGGAATTTGTCAGCAATGGACAGAACGGAAAACTTAATATGTTTCTATCATGCCCGGAATTCTACCATTGGACATTATTTCTGACATACATATAGAAAAATGAATTTTACAAATATACAAGTGAGTCGAAAGTCACTCCTGCCCCAGATTCAAGTCGTGCGCGCCCGGTCATACTGACTGAAATTTACTCTTGAAACATTGCAACTATCTCATGAGTTGAAAAGATGTTGAAAATCTGTGGAAGGTCAGTCCCTCCCAGACTTTGAGTTGGGCGCCCCAGAGCCGGACTGAAAATGGTCACACAAATCCAGACCATTCGTTCCGTTCAGCGGAGCAATGCTACCCGTTCGGACTGGTTGCGGGAGCTGGATGAGGTGTTACTAGTTGCATGCTCTCTAGATCTCGCTACAGTTTCTGGAACAACTGATGGGAAGGGAGTATATTGCTCGAACCGACCTGGTCAACAGCTGAGCTGGAGAAAAAAAATTAGCGTGATAGTGAATGAGGGAATAAAAGTACCTTCTCTGAGGTCTCTTGCAACACCCAGTAGTAAGTTGGCCTCTTTAACATACACAAGACCTTGAGCCCATGCCAGTTTGTTCACTTCTGCCAGTCTGATCTCTTTCTCTAGAATCTTCTCCGATGCAGCTTCCAGAGCACCTACGGTTTTCTTCAAACCGGCGCAGTAATCACTGCCTTTTTCGCTGGTGTGCCATCTTCAGCTAAAGGCGTTGCAGTTTTTCGTCGCTTCGATTGTGCAGGTTTTGGCTGGACTGTGGAAAGAGCACCAGAGACACTGACGGGATCTTTAGCTTCTTTTGTAGCCTTGGGGTTGACTGAGGAAACTGGGAGAGACGGCAGTTCTTGGACGGAATCTTCGGATGTGCTCTGATGAGCGCGTTTGTTGCTCGATTCAACTTGGATTCAACCGTTAGTGATTTCGACGAAGAGATCCTTTGTTTTTTTGACTGAGGTTTTAATGGTGGAGCTTTGGGAGCGGAATATCGTCAGAGGTCGTATGACCCGTTTGGGGTCGGTAAGACAAGGGACGTGACTGCCAGTCACTCTTTGCCGAATATTTGAAAACTTTCTCGAGCAAAAAGCAGTTGACCCCTGCCCGGATTGAACGGACGACCTTACGATAGACAAACCTTGGAATCGTACGTTCTGACCACTGAACTAAGGGGCCATCAAAATGAAGGCCAGATCAAAGACCTCATATTACAGACCGTGAGCATCCTGCAAAAAGTTCTTCACCATAAGCGACGAAGACTTTCCACCACTGCCTACAACGCGAAGAACTATAGTGGTCTTGTCCTCAGATGACGAGACATTAAGAGAAATGGGTACTTGGTCGGGATTATGAGAAGTCTCATGTCGATCTACTGTACCGGGGATGCAACAATATTCAGGTAGGAATTGAGTACAAAAATTCATTCGTAGGGGTCTACACTACTGGGTGGTACACGGACCAAGTAGAAATGATATGAACCCACTTCCTCAGGAATCCCCCTCTCGTCCACGATCCCGTGGCAAACGGTGTTCTCGTCGACAATAGGAAGGATATCGTAAATCATGGCGGTGGGAATGACGCCACGATCCTTGATTTCACGAAGCTACATTGACGAGAATCAGTGAAAATCACAAGAAAGGATGAATTGCTGTACCCGAGCTTTGCCATACTAGGAAAATCTGAGATGGAACTACCAGAGAAACATGGCCAACTGACCCACAGGACCTTTTTCAATCTTTCCGACGTTGGATGACCAGTGCCATGGTCATGATTAGAACAATATTACCGCTGACCCAGTCCACTTTCCAATGAGAAAGCCAGGCAGAATCGCTTTCAGTTGATCATAAACGGCATCGAGCTCTTTAGAGTCCAATCTTCCCTTGACTTTCGTCAGTTCCAAATACTTGGCTTGTGGACCTGTTTCACGCCGAGCATAACAGAGAGCCACGTACGACATCCCAGGTGCTGGTCGATAGCAGGCCCTGGTAGAATCGCACCATGGATCCTGGCCGCTATAAGTAGGAGCTGACAGTCAACCGGACTAGACGTTTAGCTGTAACTAGATTCGAGGAAGATGGGTTGGAATCGAGGCTACGAACAGACTATAGGGTTCATCGACCGCTAGAAAAGGTCAACTGCCAGCTCCTGTGGCGCGTCTAATTTGCAAGATAGTGATGCCACACAGGAGGGCGCCGAACTAGTGAAGCACTTCCCAGCTGCCAACGGTTCTACCTCCCCCAAGAGGAAAACAGGAAGCAAAAAAGTCCGTCTAGTTCCAAGTTTTCAACTTTCACCATTCTGCGGCGTTGACCTTATCAGACCCGACTTTCCCCAGTGAGAACCCTGTTTCAGCTAAGCTTGGGAAGACACCTCTCCAAAGCAGGGACAGACTCGGCCTCGAGGCCTCCTGGTCTGCAGTGTCCTGCTAGTCTAGTAGACAACTTTTTCCGCTTCGGACATACGCATTTGCGATAAAATCAGTCTCAAGTCGAACTGAATAATGTCGTTTGTGATATCCTGGGTTGAATATCGACGAGGAGCTTAGAGAATCAATATCAGCTTCTTGGCCCGAATAGTGAGGCTATATATTCGAGCGACTCACAGACTTGGGGATTTCGACAAGACGCGAGATACGAGATCTGCGGCAACTTGGTGACCATTTGAGGTATAACCAAATGCAGGAGGCGCAATCTATCCGCAGTATTAGCAGAAAAGGGTCGACTGGCTAATGAGAATATCATCTCTCATTTTATTCCTGATGAAGAACTCGATCTCAACGACACCGGTTCTGATTTTGATGTTCTTTCAGCCTTCGTCTGCGGCAAGCCCCATCGATTAAACAGGCATTTAAGAAGCTGCCATCAGGGCTGCGTGCAAAACTTCTATAGACGCTCCGTCGTTGGCTAACACCGATAGTCCTTCCATGTCACGGAAAATATTGTTGATGCATTCACCTACACCAGAGAGGTGTGCCACTTTGGCGCAGGCAGCGTGAAGGCGCAGATACTTGGGACTCGGTAACGGAAGTGACTTCGAGTTGGGTGATATGAAGGTCACAAGGGCAGGGATGCCGCCAAGAAACTGGGGGCTAACAGCGCAGGGTCTGTACTGATTTGGTACGCCCTAGGTTGCAAAGGTAAAAATGAAATACAAACTCTGAACAGCACACTCACAGTTTCTTCCAACCAGAGCATCAACATATCAAAAAATGAGTGTTTGGCTTGATCTAGAGTCAATCCGTTTTCGAGGCGGTGTATGTCACTTCCGTTGAGCTCATCTCCAAACAGAACGCCGCCTAGCCTTTCCATGACGGCCCAGACACCGGCGGCGTAGTGGTACTATATAGCAATGACTCACTTGAACAAACATATATGAGGAACCATGTAGCATACATACCTTCTGGCCAAACTCATTGTCCCCGGAGATGTCGGAATTGGTGGAAGCGGGGAAGATATGAGCAAAGTTAGTGGCAGTCACCATGGCAGTAGCTGGAACATGTGGCGTCCCCCAACTGGTAGCTTCATATTGTCCAGTGAGCATGCACCGATATCCGTCACGAATAAATGCCTGAGACAACGAGAATGAGTCTGTCTGTTGCAGGAAATATAGCGGGATCGAACCAGCTTCTTCGCGGTGGTATGGTCCTTCGGTGCTTCCTCCATCAAGTATCGGAGCATCTCTCTCTCATTATCGAACGATGGGCGAGAGGGGTGAGGTGAAGGAGCTGGGGTGGGACCTTTTGCACGTCGGACTAAGACAGAGATTAGGGAAAACATGATTTTGTAAAAGAGAACCTCACAGCAACGAACGAAACAATCTCGGTACAACACCGCTAGACGATTGAGATCCTGATGGACATTCTGGCAGTCGTTGATTTCGCGACAAATGTTATCGCGTCCCGTGGCTATCGGTGCATGAATGATAAGATACCCCAGCAAACGAGCAGCGATGACATCTGTCCAGCGGCCGAGTGATGCTATGTCTGACGCTGCGTGCTCGTAGCTCAAGCAGCTGGCATACGCCGACGTCCACAGCTGAGGTGCGTTAGCGATGGGCAGAACTGGCGGCAGAGGAGTTCCAGTGGACATAGACTAAGTAGTAGTGTTGATCGCGTGATTCTTATCGTGACCCTGTATTTTTTTCGGTCGGGTTTAATAAAAGCCTTTTATTGATTCACAGCAGAACTGTTTGTTAACGATGCCGACGTCTAGATTCGAGCCCTCGACGATCAAGAACAAGGTCAAGACCTGTCTCTACCACTCTGAACATTACTGAACTCGCTACAGATCAAGCGCGAGGAGCAATATGGCAAATCTCGCAAGGGCAAATCTCACCGAAAGCTGGAGGAGCGTATGGCTCGGGCAAAGGAAGAGGCTACAAATCCAGCCGCAAAAAAGGTAGAGCATATCCGCTATTTCAATCATTGTCCAACTCATTTCCACAGAAACGTCTTGCTGAAAATGTACCCCGCACTCTCGACAATATGCGGGAATTCGATCCTTCATTTCTAACAGCAGACCCTGGTCAGACAGCAGATGGAGCTTCCTCGTCAAACCAAAACGAAATCGCTGCGGACATTGAATCAGATCCTTTTGCGTCCTACTTTTCCTCTGAAGAGGATCCGAGCCTTCCTCCAAAAGTCCTCATTACGACGTCTCCAAAAGCATCAAAAGGAACCTACGACTTTTGCGACGAGCTAGTCGGTATATTCCCCGGCGCCGAGTTCATTCGTAGAAAGAAGGGGAAAGGATTCGAGATGGGCCGGATTGCAGGCTGGGCTGCTGGTCGCGGTTACAAACATCTGTTTGTGGTTAACGAGGACATGAAAAAACCAAGTCAGTGATTCCCTTACATGCCTTGGTTGTTCTTACATTCTTTCAGACGCCATCACGTTGGTATACCTGCCTAATGGGCCCACAGCTTATTTCAAGCTCACTTCTGTCGAGTTATCGAAGCAGATACATGTTGGTTTCTTCGATTTCTCGGCCAGCATTCGATTTAACAGCATATACTTAGGGCCATGCAAGAGCAACATCACATAACCCAGAGCTTGTTCTCAACAACTTTGTGACCAGACTTGGGCACACGGTCGGTCGACTGTTTCAAACACTTTTCCCTCCATTGCCCGAGTTTGAAGGTCGGCAAGTCGTGACGCTACACAACCAGCGCGATTTCCTATTCTTCCGGCGACACAGGCGGGTTATCCGTCTTCTTTATCGTTCTTGGTCACTAAATACAAGGCTTTAGATATGCATTCAGGTCAACAGAAAAAGTGGCATTGCAGGAAATTGGTCCTCGATTTACCCTCAAGCTACGGACGCTTCGGAAAGGCATTCCTGCGGTCCAGACGTTTGGAGAACCAGCAAAACCATTAGAGTTCGATCTCCCGACTGCTAACGATACCGAGGATGCTTCACCTGAAGCATCAGAACCTGCTGCCCCCGTCCCAGTGGTTCCTCCGAAACAAGATGAATTTTTATGGGCTTGGAAGGTGAGCTAGTATTTCTTCACCTCTTTCTTGATTTTTCTAAATCGACGCGACAGCCCGAGCTGGAGACCACTAGACGAACATTCTTCTTGTAACAATGGCAAGTTGAAATGGATGATATTTACAAATGAGCACCGATAGCTAGCGTGAGTTTCCTAAGGATGGTTACAAAAGAATGTCTGGGTTCAAGAAAAGCATCTAGGTGCTGGATCACATCCAGCCGCTCTGTTGGCTGGTATGCTTGGAATGGTTCGGATTTGGGCGTGGAAGTGACTCCGTCGACATCACGTCCTCCATGAAGAATGATATGCCATATTGGCCACGATTCGGTGAGGTAAAGGCTTTTTTAGAGGCGGGCAAGGATACCCTCAGCTCGCCTGACGAAAAGTCTACGATGCATTGAATATCAGAATACTGGCAGAAACAATCCACGTACTGTTTTGCTGGGATTCTTGTCGTCTCCGTTTTCGCCAGAGAAAGGCAAATAAGCCCAGGGCCAGGAACAGGACGGTCACACCCAGGACGATACCGACGATTAGGCCTGTGTGCTTGACTGGTGCTGCCGGTGGAAGCTCCGTGGTGAAAACCATGCCCTCAATGGCGAGCCTGGTTTTGCTGTTATTGGACGTCAAGCGCAAAGTGTGAGATCCAGAAGGTAGCATGGGAGATGAGTAGATGATGTTCGAGG